TGGGGTGATGTACCAGTCAGTGAAAGGCGCTTCCACAAGGGGAAGAGGATTTTTCTTTCTTTTGTCTCAATCTTCCCTCCATTCTGAGCCGCGAGCTTAAGCAGTCAAGTGAGTGGATTTATAGACCTGAGGCTTATGGCTTAGAGATGATTGCTTGCGTTGGCTCTGCCTCTGTGAAAATAAACGGTTTTTACTTCTAACGAGAGAGTCAGATTAAGATGATAAAAGAAAAAAAAAAATTAAAAGCAAGGCACTGAGAATGAGGAGGGAGGAGTGGGTGGAAAAAGCTTTACAAATAAATCATGTGGGTGACTTCTAATCGGGTCTACTACAAGGATCGAAGAACAAAAAAAACAAAAAAAAAGGTCAGTTTGCATTGTGCAGTTTTGAAATGACCAGCGCGTCTTCTCCAAAAGTAAAAAGAGGACCAGCTCCTTCTGCTTTTGTATTTTGCTACTCAGTTTCACAGAAAAGCAGTTGCACTTGTGTTGCGGCTCCTTTTTTTTTTTTTTTTTTCTGTGCCCCCCCCTTTTTTTTTTTAAATACTGTGTTCAGCTGTAAAACATTTGGGGAAACTTTATGCCTCCCTGTTCGGCTCTAAGTGTATCTGGAGGCTGTCCGCCGACTATAAAAAAGAGGTGGAAAGGAAAAGTGGTTGAGGGCAGGATGAGGTCCTCGTCTCTGCGTCTTCACCGCCCCGGGCTGCTTTCCAGGCACGCTCTCTGCAGCTCCTTTCTGTCCTTTTTTTTCTCTCTCTCTCTCTTTTTTTCTGTTTTTTGCTGTTCCTCCCCTCCTGGCAGGACCGGATTGCGCTGTAAAAATGAGTTATGCATCTGAAAAGCCTAAAAATGTGCTGATTTATACTGCGTAAACCTACTAACGATGTGATTCCACTCTGCCACTGTGGCACTTTCATTGTTTTGTTTTGCTCCTGATTTATATTTTTACTCTTCACACCAAAGTGCAATTAGAAAGAAGACGTGTTTCAAGGCCATACAGGCACTCTCACAGGAATGGGAGCTGATGTTGGTGACCAGAAGTACCACAGTCAATAATCTGTTCAATATATTATTAAAATAATAAATGTAAATGTTTTTTGTGATTTGAGCAAACCTTTTAATTCATAAATTTCATATTTTATTGTTGACTTCAAGCGTGAGGTTAATGCAAACCAAGCTTCTCCTGTTCTACATCAATTAATTTGCTACATTTCTGAATGATAAGATATTTTTAAGTCTTATCAAAACTTTCTTCAAATTCAGAGGCCATAATAATTACCATAATTTTCATTTTCATTTGGAAAAACTGTCTTTTAAACTCCTTTACTTGGGCCAACAACTTGGGTTCCTTTCCAAAAGCTTCTCACAACACGTCTCTAGGTAGCAACACCTCAGACATCATGTCCTGGAGTCTTGGCCTTTGTCCTGGAAAACGCCTCATGATACAAACTGTCAGCATTGGAAATTATGAATCAGGCCAAAAGATGCTGAGCGTCGTTCATGTCTCGCTTGACTCAGAGCAGAAAATGTTTCCTGCTTCTCCTCTTGACAAGCCACTGATTTCAAGAAAAGAAGAAAAGAGAAAAGAATAAAAAGGCACTGAGATCATACAGCAGCTTAACAAACCGTTTGCTCATCGTTGTCTGAGGAATTGTAACCAGATATTAGCACACACTTTATACAACACATAACTCACCTTGTCCTGTTCCAGGTCAGTTGGGATGACCAAACGTTTTCTATTGGCTAAATCCCAAAATAGTGAGATAATTCCTTCTCACTATAGTTTGCTGGAGTTTTTGCCCATTCCTCGAGGACAGATGTGTGTAGAACTGAGTCAGAACTATAAGCCGCCTTGTTCGCACACACTTTCTGCCCATAAAGGTTCTGTGACGCCAGGTTTTTGAGGTGGTCACCCCAAAACAGGGACTTTGTTGTCTTTAAGCCTCTTTGTAACCACTTTGTCCAGTTGGAAGACTGAGTTGCACTGACGATGTAACTTCCTGGGTGATGCATTTCTTGATGCTGCCCTAATATTTTCACATATTTCCTCACTGTGCCATGTTTTTTGTAAAGTGCACCAATTCCTGTGCGTCATAGCCCATTTCTCCTCCCGATGCAACAATGGTCATTATGGCCAAACAGTTCAATTTCAGACTACAGAATGTGTCTCATTTTCAATCTGCAGTCAGACTTTTTACATTGCCTTTGAAATGATGGCTTTAGATTGGATGATTATGTGAGCATTTATGATTTATGCTAATTCTTGACCAGAATTTGCGTAAATTCTGGTCTGTAAGTGAACCAAAATACATTAATCTCTGGGTCAGAATGGTACAAAGACTCAACAATCACATTGTGTTTGTATTTACACGTAACGGGTGAAGGTGGCGCCGTCATGTATTCACAGCTTTAACCAAAGATGAACCAAAATTGTGGAAAATAATAATCACGATTCTCTTCTTATCTCGGATGATTTTTTTTTCTTTCATAATTCTGGAAATCAGCAAATAGAAATGGTCTTTTAATCATAACTGAGCTAAAACATGAAAATTTGAGCCTGATTCACTGTCAGACAGTGACATAAGAGGTTGTGAGATTTTTTATAAAGTGTATGGGAACATCTGGTTCCACAAAATACAATTGCTTGATAGTTTCTTCCTCTGTATTAGTTATTGAGAGTAACACTACTGCAGCTGAAGGTAGGGAGGCTCACATCTGGATTTTTCTTTTAACAAGGATCATTTTCAAATACTGACTCTGACATTCAAAAAATGTCTCAATCCAATACTTTGGATTGAATCGGGAAGGTGATTGACCTAAAGTTAAATTGGTGTCTAGGTTGACCCACATGCTTCCAGTTGATGAAGAAATATATTTAAATTTTGATGAATATTTCCACATACTTATTTGTTTAAAGAATTTCTGACACATGTATTCAATTGAAGATGAAGGACATATTGCATTTTTCCTCATTTTGTTTTAATGAGGAGATACGTGATTATATTAAGATGTTATGCAACAGGCTGCGTCACTTTTAGCAGGAAAATTATACTTGGCTCTTTGACTTGTACCATGTTGAATCAGCTATGCTCTGTTACATAAAATTTGCTCCAGCATGTGGCACAGTTTCCATTGATTTTCTAACCCATGTATTTAAACAAAAGTGTGCTTACGTTTTTTGTTTTTTTCTCTTTTTCATCTGAGCCAATAAGCAGGTCACCCACTCCACAACTGACAAACGAACACCCTGTCCTTCCATCAGTGTGGTCCCACAAGCTTTTATTTCTTCTTTGAAGTCTGAAAATCTCCAACCAGAAGTCACTTGTTAGGTGAACAAAGATGGCAAACAAATTTAAATGAAGGCCGTGGACCTACATGAAGGTTTACGACTCGCCGGCCCCTCCCAGATAAACAAGAATGGCCTGACCTGTTTTTTGTGGGGATGATTTAACGCACTTACTTTTGGGAATGTAGGCAGACACGCACAGAGGAAGGCTTATAACATCTATGCCACATTTCCAAGCATGATTATTCTAAATAATAGGCTCCTTGTGCTGGTAGCTGAGGTTTGGTGTGGAGGGTGGTCATGGGACTCCCCAATGTGATGGCAATGCACTAATCTGCCTTGTATGGCCCCCTTCACATGTGTTCACACCATTGTTTCCACAGTCTAAACAGGGAGCGCAATGGTACCCAGGGGAATTGTAAATGGGCTGGGTAGAAATCCCTCCATTAATTACCAGTCTTATTTAGAGTCACCAGCCAGTCTAACTCTGGTTTTCAGATTAGTTTACATCGCCCTCTTCGTGTCTGGAGTGACACAAAATAAAGACTAAAAACATGTGCCTATCGAAAAGCAAAGGGGAAAAGAGCTGGAAATTCATATAATATTTGCATCTTACTCAAAAACTGGTTCTATCTCGCTGCTAACGCAGATGGTGACTGTTGTGAAAGAGTCTCAGCTCGGCTTTTTCAAAGTGAGAGAAGTGCTGCGGAGACCGACGTTCACTGCAAAAGTTGCCTCAGGTTGCAGCTGTAAAGAAATGAGATGATTCTCTTTAGTGAAAACAGATGACTAAAAAAAATTAAAATAATAAAAAAATTGCCCTAAAACAAACAAAAAACATTAAAAATGCCAATGATAAACATACAGCAGTAATTCCCTTTTCTGTGTCTTTTGAGGGTGTCTTTTAAGAGGATTTAAGCTTTTTAAAATTAATTTCTGTCCCATTGTTTTATCTGACCAGGACTGCTCATTATGTGGTGTGTATTTAAAAATCACCAAACAAACAGAAGACAAAAGACCCAAGACTGGGGGGCTGCTTTAGCTAGACATTTCCTATACTTTACTTCTATACCTTACAGACTCAGAGTTAGGTGACTAAACAATGCAAGTGAAAGGATGAATTAATCTTTGCATGAGAACTCTCAGGACAACTGACAATTGCCAAGGTTGGCAGAACCAGATCTCAGAACTCAAATATATTTTTACCTTTCACTTTTTTGTGTGTGAAGAAAAATGATGTAGTTGTGACCATCAACATTCTTGTGTACTATTACACAAGGTAATCAATAATTATTACATTGCTGTTTCAAAGATATTAAGTCTAGTCTTACTTTCGATTTTAAGAGCAAATGTCATTTCAAGGTTGTTATATTGTGAGAATTCCTAGTTCAGTGTGTGAAATAATATCACACTGGCTTTAGCAATATGATAATATGTCATGAGAAGACAGGATTCATATCAGAATATGTGCGTGTGTAAGGCCTGGGACCGGTTTTCTCCCTCAAACCGATTGGTGCTGTAATTTATTACCCGGTACACACGTGGGAATAGTATTACAGCGCCACAAGATAAACAACTACTCCACTTCAAGGCATATCTCGCGAGACGAAAAGCCTCCCTCAGTGCTCCCCTATTGTGAGAGTTTTCCAAATCTCGCGTTACCTCTGAAGTTTCCCACGCCTGTTGTTGTGGCGTCTCTGCCCTTTTCGCTCTCTCTCTCTCTTCAGTGTGTTGCTGTTATCCACTGCCTCCCTTCTCCTCCCCCTTCCCCTTTTTTCTCAGTGTTCCTCACCCACCCCTTTTTCTCTCCGTCTCCGTCATCCCTACACCTCCAGTCTGCTTCTGTTGTCTCGGCGGATTGTTGGGCTGTCGGAGAGAGAAGGGATATCGCGAGTATTGGAGTTTTGGTGAGAGTTTGTGGAAGATGGCGCCTGTTGTGACAGGGTGAGTCTGAAGAATCGGGGCTGGCGGTGGGGAATTGAGTTGTGCAGAAAACAACTTACATGGATGAAACGGCTCAGTTTTATGCGCATGCCGTGCTGCTTGTATTTTGTGAAGTGCTTTTCTGATGAGTTGGGTTTTTAGAAAGTCTGCATGTGTTCGAGTGAGGGTGTTTTCCCCCTCTTTGAGCAGTTGCGGGTACTTGCCTGAGCTGACTGTTGTTACCGCGGTGTTTGGCGAGCTAGCCCCCCGCTTAGCGTCACTTCACCCCCGGTGGTCTTTTCTGCCAGACAACGGAGGGCTGTTAGCAGGCTTGCTAGCCCCTGGGGCTAGGCACAGCCAGAAAAAAGCGTGTGCTTTTACATCAATTCAACACCTACACCCCACCTCCTTTCTGTCACAGTTTCACGGGGAAGCAAATTTTTCAGCACTTATATTTTTGTTTTCGTGCTCAGCAGCTAGCCGGGCAGCACGGTTACGAATTGGCTAGCTGTCCGATAACGGACACTTACTACATGAAACACGTTGCTGCTTTGTGGTCTGTGTGTCCTCTTCGTAGTGTTTTAGACCATTTTTTTGTTTATTTCTTTCGCGGTGATATAAAGTAAGTCTTGCATAGCCTGGTAGCTGTGTATATTTTAGTGTGAATCTACAACACACGTTGAATGATGCTTATTTTAAAACAGCAATCTTTTAGTTTCAATTGAAAGTAGCGTCTAACTGCGATCTAAATGTAATGAAAACTATACCTTGGTATTTGTGTGCCTGCATATTCAAAGCTAAGGACAAGTATGGATAATAATCGAAGTTTTATTCAGTTTGTTACTTGTATACTGGTGTAATAGCTACATTGATGCAACAGCTTTCTGAGACTCGACGTTGTTTTTCCTGCTGTCTGTGTGTTCTAGACTGTTTACATAAAATACACAGATTCAGCAAAAGCTTGTTTTAAGCCCATATCAGCATTTATTTTTTTTCACATATTCTTGCGATACTTTTTAAATAGTTATAATTTTAAGCATACATCATAATCTGAAAGATCACTGCAAAAAAAATTGATACCAAAAACATTAATGTTGGGATGAAATTTCGACAGTTGCAGCATTTCAAAGCTGAAATTCTGACAGAGTGGATTCGGCTTGCTTGCTTGTTCAAATGAAACATTAAAGTTATGCCCTGAAGATAACCTATAAACTACTTACAATTATTTATTTATTTATTTATTGAATTTGAACTGGCAATTTGAGCATATTAAAACACACCGAAACACTTGACTTTAGGCACTGCTATTTGGAAACATTTATTACTGACTAATAATAATAAATAAATTCTGCAAACGCAGTTTCGTCGGTCCAGTCTTCAACAAAAAGATCAATCTAACAGGATCGAAAAATGGTAATGAATGATAATTGAGGGTGTGTGTGTATATAATCACTGGAGACTTTTGAAACATTAATCTGTGGTTGCAAATAAAAAGCTATTTTTGAGGGACGACCAGGAGCATAAATACACTTGAGCGATTGATGCAGCCTTGCTGTTCGGAATATACCCATAATAACAACATTTACAGTGACACAGAACACTAGCCATTACTGAGACCTGCCTTATTGAGAAGGTACAAAAAAATAAGGGCTTTATAAACCATTGAGGGATATGTTGTGGACATTTTATTTACCATTTTAGTCAGGTAAAACTTATTTCTCGCTCATGACCAATTTTGAGAACATTTTACGACTCTTAAACTTATTTCCCCCCCCCCTTTTTTTTTTTTTTTTTTTAAGGCAAACTGTAAAATTTTGGAAGTATGATTCATAAATAACATGTAGACATTTTTTGAGATAATTCCCAAGTTCATTCTAAATAAAGAAATACAAGCTTTTGTAAGATTAAGTTCCTATAAATCTTTCCATTAATTAATTTATTCAAAAACACATGTTCTTCGGGTATTTCACAGAGTGAAGAAGCGGATCAATTGTAAAATAAGTGACTTGTTCACATGAGTCTTGCCACAGAAAAGGTTCGGTCTTCATATGTTTACTTGGTTTGATAAATCAGGTCTTCCCAAACATGTCCTAAGTGTCACCCTTAACTCACACACAGTTACAATTACATTTCAAACATCTCAATATAACGTCAGTTTTTTTCTTACTAAGCTAAACCTAACGATAGTCATAGCAGCTGTTCTGACTTCAATCCTGCTGCAGAAATAACTAGGAAACTTATTCAAGTGACCAGTGTTGCAAGACATGGCATTGTTGGTGCTTCGGATGACTCTTTTTCAGTTTGTTGAAGATTTCTCTGAGAAGAGTTGTTATTACTGGGTAAACCGTGGGTTTAAAGCACAAGATTCAGCACAGCGGTAGTACACTTGCGTGAACAAAGTACAGGTTACAGCTCTTCCATAATACCCAACAGCTTGCCTTTGTTGACCCAATGACACCTCAACACGTCCACAATGTTGCAAAGGGGCAAGTTTACCTTGGAAACAGATACAAGTTTACCTTGAAATTTGAATTTCTGAATAACAAAAACACAAAAGTTTACAACAAAACTATTTGGACAAAATGCCTCTATATTAAATAATGTTTGTATTTGAGTAAAATAAAATAAGTGAGAGGAATAAATATGAAATGTGCTTAAACTTACTTAGTCTTCCTTAGTGGGATGTGAGTTCTTTTTTTTAAGCAGAGGAAGTACTACAGTCAAAACAAAATACAGTTTTAATCAGCCTTTACTAAGAAGAGTGACCTTGTTCAGCATAAGAAGACAAGAATTGGACACAAAATGGATATATTTTTTTAAGTAAAATGACATTCACATATTGACAAGTCCCCCTTTCTCCACATTGAAGAAATCATAGGGATCTCATAATGGTTTCATCGTTATTTACACAATACTTCTGAAAAAGTAAATGGTTTTAATTAGAGCTCCGGCTTATAGAGCTGCCAGTAACTTATTCTGTAAGCCTGATGTCAGCCATTTGATTCCATTTGGCAAAAATGCCCCCCCAAAATTGTACTTCCTCCTCGCATTAGTCATATAGCTTCCAATTTTTTGGCTCTGTTGAGGTACTAATCCCTACAGACAGCTCGGTGGGTGACAGACATTTGCAGGGCTGCTAAGAGGTGTGTTTGTGTGTGTGTGTGCGGATGGATAGGAAGCGGGTAGTTTGCGGTGCATGTTCATTTGGGGCTTTCCAGCAGAGCTGGACTGATTTTGGTCGGTGCGTTTTAGAGGGAGGAGGGGGCAGGCAAGAGGGCAGGAGGGTCAGGTCTGGGTGGCTGGCCACCTGTCCAGATGATATCAACAGATTCATGTGTGTTTGACCGTGTTTTCCTGTGAATGAAGTTGGAAAGGAGTGGGGGGTGCTTGGAGGTCAGCGTGGAAGAACAAAATGTTGCGGTTGCTTGTTGGGCTGAGAGGGGTGTAACAGAAAATTAAACCGCCATAAGGATCCTCGTAAAGTCACCGTCGGCCTCGCTCACAGCAACGGTTGGAAACGCCAGACTAGACCTAATCTGTTATTGGTCTGAAGTGGGGGTGCGGGGGCTCCAGCAGTACTGAGTTGTTAATGGGATTACAAGTTCTTGTATGTGTTGCAAATGAATATTTGGTTTTATGTGTGTATATTTTTCCTTAAGTGTCACTCCATTTAATTAGAGCCTGCACTGTTAGCCAGTATTTTTATGTATACTATATTTCTTTGACATTGTTTCCTGCTCTAGCAGACTTCAGTTTTAAGAAAGTGTTTGCGCTTGCCAACTCGATTCGTCATGTTGATGTGGTAAATGTTGAGCGTAAACGGTGACAATGTTCAGATCCGATATATCTGCTCGCAGTCCTGACAGTCATTTTTCTGTGCATGGCATCCTACTATGTCGACATAATATTTTGACAAACTTACAGATTACACTCGTGTTCTTCCACATTTTCACAGTATAATTACAATAAAGTCCGATACTTCTTTTACAGGACTGTATTGTCCGATAGCATTCGTCGGTGTGATGCTATTGCATTCCTCATTTGGAGGAGCTGTGCAGAGAGCAGCTGGAATGATGCTCACTAAATGTTATGATGTTCTAAGCAAAGTGTTAAATTAATGAAGCATGGGAACAGCTTTTTATTGCAGCGTATCTTTGCACGCATTTGGCTGGAATTGCATTGGAAGAGTTGAATTATCAACAAGTACTATCAAAATGTATAGCAAACATGCTAGCAGTAGTCTACTTTTTTTGCAGACTGTTCATTTACCTACACTTTAAAGCCATGGAGTTAGCACATAAATCATATTGATTGTTATTGAAGGATTAAGGAGGGAAATGTCTGTTTTTAAATGACATCACAAGTAGAAAAGCCCAACGATTTCTGTGAATTACAACAGGAAAGTGTGAGTATTTCGAAAAAAGTCATGTGGCTAAATGAGCATGTTGGAAACATTTGACACAGTGTGTGCAGGATTAAAGAGACTGCATAAAATCAGATCGCTCTGGGTTTAAAAAGACAGCCTTTCCTTAAATAACATATTTCCAGCTATGAAAGGCGATTAAAAACGTGGCAGAAAATCAAAACGCTGCACCTGACTTTAATTTACTGAAGCATTTCAATAACATTTTGATAAATTATGTACTGAAGATCATAATGAGATAAATTGGAGGAGTTTTTAAAGACCAAAGTAAACTTGTAAAAAAAAAAAGGATTTTGGTGACAATTACACGGTTTATACATTTGAAGAAAGTGATTAAAACGAAATTTTTTACATAATTGTGCAGTCAGAAGTCTAATTTCTTGGCTCAAAATGGCAATTGTTTTTGTTACAACATGCAGAAAAATATATCCGTTGCAGCAGCATAGAACAGGATCTTTCTCATCTCTGAGTACCGTATTAGTCTGAGCAAATTATGTTTGTACACGCTGTCTAAACTCGCCGGATTCTCGTCCCCTGTGTGCACAACAAGCAAAAGACGAAAATGAAAATAAACAGCATCTACTTTGTGTTTTCCTTT